GAAGTCCCACTCTCTGGAATTAAGCCATTACAAGATATTATCGGTGCAGAATGTCTGCACAGGAATGATGACAATCCTTGAAGATTCAGACCTCAGAAGCCAATAGAAAGAATTGCAAATCTATTATTTTACAATGCCTCAGGCAGAAGTCTCAAAAATTTAAGGTTTCTGAGTGGCTGGGATTGCCTCTTCTATTATTTGCCTTTGCTAAATATCTATTACAGAATTTCTAACCCACTAACGTTAGTCTAAAATATTACAAGCCTAACTTTAGGTGTATTTGTAGGTAGTCCAATAGCCAAAATTGTACTTACACACTTCCACTCATGCAAGTGCTTGTGGCTCTCCTGAGTGAGACTAAGACAAACCAGAAGCTTCAATGTAGAAGAGTCCTTCAAACCTGGAATTAACCTGTTTGGTAAGATGTGCTGAAAAACCCATGAAGGAGAGAAAACCTTCATAACACAAGAGACAAAGCTAAATCTTCATTGTGAAAAGTTGTCTTCAGCCAGCCCAAAGATGAGTGGCTGGCTGAGCACGTGACAAGCAGTCAACCCAAAGAAGAAGGAAATTAATCTGTCCTCATTCACGCAAAGCATGAGCCCTTACATAGATCTTTGAAAGCATACCCACCATGCATCAAGAATAACAATGCTGCTTCACTTTTTTGTTTGTTTGTTCGAGTAGAAAAAAAATTAAGTAACACACTCTTGGCTCTGCGGAATAACTAGCTACCACCACAACACTGACTCAGAAATCACTGTCTGGAGGCCTGAGGTTCACTTTGCACGGCCAACTGAACCCCCGTCATATAGGAAGGATCAAGATGATTCCCAGTGGCTTGTCAGGGCCAGCCAGCCAGACCGGAGTCTCATAACTGGTTCCGGATGCAGATGCCAGCAGAAGATAACTGACATGACTTGCTTGTCCCCAGTGCTGTGCATGCACACGTACAAACTGCAAGTGTACATGAAGAGAGCTGACATGGTGGCTTTGTTAGTGCCTGGTGCAGTTTCCTCATAAGCAAGCATAAGGCTAAAGTTACATGGCAAGAAAATGCGCTTATCTGTCACCAGAACAGACTCATGTATAACTTCATTTTGTTCATTGACATTAAAGAAATGACAAACACGTCTTAATTACTTCTGCTCAGGACAAAAAGAAATATGCCAAGTACATAAGTAATGTAACAACTTCTGTGGATTAGACCATCAATTGTACCACCTTCAGAGTTGTCTGTGTCAACAGCAAATTCAGAACGGAATTGCGACCCTTAGAGTGCTCAGTTTTCTTCAGCTACGTGTTCCAGCCAGTTAATTTTTTAACACGCCACAATCCAACTGTTTCACTCTGATAACACCTAGGGCCACTAATTAAGAGCTTAGTTTGACTGGCAATGCACGGACTTGTTCCAACCAGATGCTCCCTGCCCCAAGGAGCTTGCTTGCAAGCAAAGCTTAGAAAATAGACACCTACACTTTAGCCACTACACAAATATGCAAGGGCACAAAAGTTAAAGAGGGATTTGGAAGAAATGCATCTGTATGAGAAACCCCTACCCCAAAGTCGTGGGGATAAGCAAGAGGTTTCATTTGTAGAAAGCTCACCGAGTTGTTTGGAGAGCAATTTTAAGGGCGTAATATCAGTACTCCATCACATAAACCCACATGCAACCCCAAGATATGCATTTTAAAAGCTCCTTGAACAATTTGACTTAAAGTTCAGGAAGGGCCTCTCAGGGCTACCAGTCCAAATCTATGAAAGAAAATAATAAAAAACTGTACTAGACTGTAATAATGGAAAACCAAAAAAATTCCAGGGCTGGATTTTAGGACCTCTCTCACTTTCATTATCTGAAGCACTTCACTATAGTATGGGACAAGCACCTTCTCACTCCTCTCCTGTCCCACAACATCTACTCTGGAATAGACTCAGTTGCCAGCTGTTACCAAAGATGACCCTTAACCTGTAAGGTCAGATCTGCTTTTGGCTCTCACTTTCTAACAGCCAGCCAGAACCCAGAGGTTTCTGAATCTGGCCTAATCTCTAGCAAATAACACCAGACCACTGAAGCAAGAGATGGAACTAGAGGCTGAGGCACAAGGCTCCAATTTGCAATCCTTTCTTGGATTTAGCTGCAGCAGCTGAAGGACTCTAAACCAATGGGCTGGACTACAAACAGTAAGAGCTTGGGAGTGGACCTGCTATCACTTAGCCGCCCCTGCTATAGGGGCACAGGTGTCCAGCAGAGAGACAGCATGGTCAGCAGGACCAGTGTTCCAAGGTTAAAGATTCAAATTTGAACCCTAACTACCACGCTTCACAGCCCAGCCACCCTTACCAGAAACTGCTGGCAGCGCACGCTAACCTAACAGCAGGTGAAATCTCAGTCAGTCAATCCCTGCCTTCCCATTATGGTGACTTTTGGTGAAAGGGCAATAAAGGGACACCAACTTCCTCAGCAACATCAGCACAAACCAGCAGATCTCAAGTCAGAGCCCTCTGAGCAGACTTGGTTGTCAGCCGCCTAAAGACTAACTTCCACAGGGAAAAAGAAGAAAAGTCCATTACATCAACATCCAAAGCTTGCTTGTTTCCTGGTTTCACTTACAGGAGGCAGTGGCAGCCTCTCAGCTTTTCAAGGTGCAAAAACTAGGAAGACCTATCACAGCCACACTAAACTGATTTGTGACACAGGGTACCAAAATGAGATATCTACCGTGGACAGAAATTTCATCCTGAAAAGATTCCCAAAGCTTGGATGCCAATCGGAGGGGAAAACAAAAAGTCTCCCAGGCTTACAAAAATGAGTTGACAATTCACCCAAGGACACCGTCTCATGACTTTGCCTAATGGCAGTACTGTTACAAGTTAGAAACAACAGCAGCCTGCTTCCCCTTGAATTTGGGAACTTCCAGCAAAGGCCATAAAGTGCAAAAGCAAGTGGGTAATGAAGAAGAGCAGCTAAGCATACTGTTTTTACAGCTCAGAAAGCTCTTGGTTTGGGTTGTGGATGCAGGTCAGTTCTTACTCTGTCCAAAGTAGTTGCTCTTTCTCCACATCCACTACTAAAAACCTGATTTTACACTCACATCTAACCAACTTTTCACTAGGCTTCAATGACAGCAGACTGGACCTTTTAAATAACGCACCAGCCATACCTGCAAGAATATGCACAGACGCAGATCGATGCGAGGACGTGGAGAAGGCAGAAGTTCAGTCTGTGCCTGGCAGCCCCACATCAGCTGAGGGCAGCAGAGGGAGATGGTACAGGAGGGCACTTGGCTTCATGACAGGGTCCATCCACAGTGCAGCCGCAGGAAGCTCTCGCACTACCTGCTACTTGTGACACCTACCCTCTGTCCACACCTGCAAGGAGATCTGGCGCAACACCTAACACGGAGCACTGCACACTCTGTTAAGCAATTAGTATGCTGGTACAAGGCTCAGCCAAGACCAGGCAGCTGCACATAGTCCCCAAAGGCCTACAAAACATATATAAAACCAGAGTTTAAAAGTCTGGCTTTCTGCCCACACACATGTATGCCAGTCATTGTACCACTCTCCACAGCAGGCTGCAAGGATACCTCTGATGGTCTATGCATCAGCCTTGCAAGAAACAGCGCAAGCCTGCAAAAATGCAGACCACCTGTTTACAGCACAAAACCTTTGCATTAATACAAACAAAATGGCTGCAGATGCCCACTCCTGAAGGTTTTCCTGCATGCCTCCAAGCATCCTGAAGGCTGTGTATAACCCTGAGAGCTCCTTCCAAAGATTCTCATGGGTTTGCAACCTAAGGCTCCAAGAGAAAAAACAGTAAAGCTAAGGGAGACCATCAGAGCCACAAGGCCCAGAAACACAGCATTCAGGAGAAATCCCCTACTGCCTCTGCAGAGACATTCTGCACTGAATCAGTCCACTACAACCCTACTTTATTTCCAAAAATAAAATCTAATCCTGCTTCCCCCAAGAACCACAAAATGTGCAAACCCCACAGGAAAAAGTACACAGACAGAGCAAACTTTGAGGAAATATCAGCACTGTTTCTAACAAAGTTGCCATCAGCCTGTCCAGAGTGACTGCGCAGAAGTGCAGCCACACGGCAATCCGCCTCTGTTTAACACATACAAAAGACTGGAGTCTGGTGTACGTATCCCCAGCCCCCAACTCGAGCAACAAGGGCTGCTACTTTTCTCAGATCCTTTCTTTGATTTGGGGCCAGGCGCTGCACTCCCTGCAGTACTGATGCCAATCCAGAGTAACTCTGCTGATTTCTAGGGGAATCTATTGATTCACAGCACTTTTGCCAAATCAGGACCTAGTATTTTTTTGTAACTTGTTCATCACGACTCCATTTTTATCCCATTGCATATGGCTCAAAATTTCTTCTTTGAATTTAGCAAGAAGGGCTTAAATATTCCCAATCCTGAATCTGTGATCCTCATTTTTCTTCTGAGCAATAAGAAAGGATGTAAGCAGAGTCTGGAAAAACATGGGTCAATGCAGTGAGCCAGACTGCAAACTTGAGCTCAGATTCCAGCCTTTAGGACCAGAAACGAGAGAAACTCAAATAATGAGCCAAAAGGCATTTTAGGCAAATCATGTTTCTACAGTACCTAGCACAGTGGAGTTCTAGCCTGGCAAGGGCTGGAAGACTACAGATAGCACACATACAAAGGTAAGTAGACAGACAGGCAAATACCTATGTAATTAAATGTGAAGCCCATTAAGAGTAAATACTTCTAAGGAACAGAGAGCTACACCTGCCTTTATCCACCTTTCTGTATTACCTATTGAATTGTGCAAGGTAGTTATGACAGCAAAGGAACAGGACTTCAGTAACAGGAATACAGCTTAGACCAGTTCCTACTGAGCATGCCGGCTAAGAGGAAACTGGCCCTGAATAATAAGCACTCCAAGTTACTGGCTTCTCCAGGCCCCGTTATTAGTTACCTGAAGCTGCAAAAAACAAACGAGACAAAAACGGCTGTTCGTACCTTTAGCTGGAAAGGCTGAACTTCGTTCAAACTCTGGTTCCTGAGCTTTTTGGTGAGGATCTTCAGCATGGTATAAATCCGAGGAGCCAAGAAAGGGTTAAGCACACACACGCGCACGCATCTACATCTGAGCTACGGTTGGAGGAGCCCCGCAGAGCTTGCATCCAGCACCCCCAGGTACGCGGCGGCGCCGGGGTGTGCAGGCGACGGCTCCGAACAGCCCGCTGCCAGCTATACCCCTCTCCTCCTCCACCGCGCTCTGTCCTACAGCCCTCCGCCGGAGGGAGAAGGGATCCCCTTTCCGTAGCCTAAAGAACAGACACCAAACTTCCTTCGCTTTCCACCCCCTCCCGGGTTACGCTTGAGAAAGGAGGGAGGTACCAGCTGGCAGCGCGCTGCAGGGGACAAGAGACATTCGGCGCGGAGTGTCTATCGAGGGACGGCAGAGCTCCCTAGCCGAGG